AGCCCAGTGAGAAAGGTCACCATCATCTGTGAATCAAGAAGTCATCGCTCAACTGGACCAACATCCAACAACTCACTCCACTCTTCCTCTCATCTGAAACAACAACATTTAATATTCAGACTAGTAAATTATAACTATTCACAGTGCTCAGCTGTTCTGCAGGACTGATTATAATGTGAATCCTATTCTTTCACTGTGGCTACAATCAATCCTTTCTCAGCTCAGCATCCAACCCAAAGCTGACACAACCTTCCATACCGCTGTCTTTATCAAAGACCAGAGGCAGGGGCCTCTTCTGGTTAAGCTCCTGACAGAAACAAAGTGAGCCTGTTTATCAATCAGGTTCTATCTGATGAAACATCTAGAACGGAAGCAAATCTCAGATTAAAAGACATGTTTATTATTTTCCAGGCATTCACAACATAGTAAAGGAATTACGGCAGAACTGATCAAGTTCAATTATTACCCTTTCAGAAGCATGACTTGCTAAGAATAAGGTGATGCCCAATGATAAAGTGTGGGGAAAAATGCGTGGGCAGTGTCTTCATGTGCTACAACTGTACGCAGACTGCCCTTTAACAAAACATGAAACCTCACTGATTTATAGAATTGTAGTTTTTTTTTGTTACATACTCTATTCCTTAAGATTATAGCACTTGGATTTAGTAATTTTTCATGATAAATTAAAATTACATCAAGGGGGAATAGAAAAAAGCAAAACATTGAGAGAGACAAAAATGGAAAAGTATCTGTTGATAGTAATGGGTATGGTAATGTCATTGACTGGGCTACTATACAGCGTATTCACACTAGGAAGATTACTTTTATATGCTGTAATGATATATAGTGATTAAATGTAAGAAATAAACAAAAAAAAATCAAATTTGCAGACCAACCCATGATGTGATGGTTAAGACAGCTAGATCTCAAATGGCTAACTGCATGGTTCAAGTCCTGGACCTGGTGTATGTGTATGCATGTGTCACAAATCCAAAAGGGACAGAGAAATAGAGAAGGGTTTGCATTATGACCATTCCCCATGGGGGCACTTTTTCACTTTCCCTTGCTTTCTTTTCTTTCTCCAGGGAGCTGTACACCCTCTGGCAATATATTTTTTTTTAAATCAAATTTGTAGAGGCAAGATACTTTTTAAAGGTACTTGAGATACTATCTAATACATCATTATAAGTTCTCATTGTAAGTAATGCCTGCTTTTTGTTTTTGCTTTCACTTTAGAGAGAGATTTTCCTATAGGGTGCATGTGCTCACCAGAGAGACAGAGGAAGAAAGCAAGTAATCACCCCCACCCCAGGGGCAATGGCCAAATTGCAATACCTTCTTCTTCACTCTCCTCCTGGGATTTCGGGCACGTACATGTGCCTGGTGTGCGTTTCAAGCCTCCAGGTCTCGAACTTGAAATATAGTTGGCCATCAGGGAGTCCAGTCCCTTAACCACCATGCCACCTGCTGGTCCCTTGTTTTGTTTATAAATTTGTCATGGTTTTGTCTCTATAAAGGATCTGACTCTCCTGTGCCCCAAGGCCCATTTTGTTATTATTAAAAAAAGCTGAACATTCCTGAGCATATTTTCAGCTTTGTTTTCATTTTAAGTATCTAAACAAAACAACTAAAATTTAACAAATGGTGGCTCAAGTATATTTCTTAATTTTTAAAAAATCTCTAAGCTTGAACATGACTATATTCAAAGAATTGGTTAGGTAACATGTTTTACTATATTGTGTTGAAAAAACTTAGGTTATGACCTAAGATATATCTCTTTATGTTTTAAAGAATTATTTTTAATTTAATTTTATTTATTTTGACCAGAGTGGGAGAGGAAAAGAGAGAGAGAGAGAGAGAAAGAGAAAGTGAGAAAGCAAGTCACCTGGTCCAGAACTTGAATTGCTGTTGGCCATGTGGGAGCCCAGCACCCATAACCGCCACGGCACCTGTCTACCCCCTAAGATATATCTCTTAAAGATCTAATTCTCAAACCTGAATAAGATCCTATGGTATGTGCCAGAACATATGACATATACCTTTAAGAACAGATTCGGACACAAAGTATCCACATGAACTTCACAAAATACACACTTCAGAGAGACAACCAGATAGAGTCAATACATTCAAAACTATGTAAGTCATCCTTAGTGAGAAATTAACAAAAGAAGAAATTTAAGGGGCGACAAGTGGGCCCCTTAAAACAATTATGTTAATGATATAACTTATGCAAATTATCTAATGAAAGTTAAATAAATTAAATATTTAAAACTTAGTCAACAAATGTAAGAATTTAAGATCTGTACAAATAACTCGCATAGGTTTCACAAGAGTACAAACTATAATATACATTAGACACCCAAAATAATACTCTCTAAATTCATCTCAACTTGTAGTCAGCAGGGCTGTATGAAATAAACCAGAAACTATTTAGGAAACAGGGTATTCTGAGAGGACACCTCTGTTTTAAGGCAGCAAACAAACTCTTATGAATGTGTTGTCATACACTTCTAAAAGCATATTCTAAAAATACTGTAATGTTATGAAACAGAATGAACTGAGTGCTTAAAAGCAAAAGAAGAAGGCTGCTTTGGCTAGCACACTTGCTAAAGGGGGTCATGTCCCACTGCTAGGGAACTAAGTCCTACAGCCTTCCATGGGATATGTTACAGAGAATAAATTGATTTTAAAAATTGTGAACTTTACTTTAAAAAAGCAAATAGGGGGAACCAGCAGTTGGCATAATGGCTATGTCACTGGACTCCCATGTAGTCGACTACGGTTGGAGTCCCGGACCTGGTGGCTTAAACTCACGCTGGGCGCGTGTGCGTGTGTGCCCAAGATCCCAAGAAGAGAATGGAGGAGAAGGGATTGTGGCGTGGTCATTCCCCCATGGGGTGATTTCTCGCTTTCTGTCTCTCTCTTACTGGTGAGCACACACACCCTATAGCAAAAATTTCTCCAAAAAACAAACAAACAAAAAAAACCCACCACCACCACCACAACAACAAAAAAGGTTAAGGCCCAGTACCAGTGGGGAAAATGCTGTGAAACATCAAAATGAACCATATTAGCATCAGCAATGTGAGCCTGTATTTATCAATGAGACCTGAGAAGAAATGCTAAGACCTAATATCTGGACATCAAGAAACATAAGCTTGACTTTTAAATACATTGATCATCCTGTTTTATAAGTTACCATACATCTCCAAGTTTAGTTAAAATATAGTTATGGCTTGATTTTGGTATTACTGAGTTGTCAGAAAAGTCATGACACAATTTTTCTATTTTTCTATGTAAAATTGTGTCATAACTTTTCCAACAACCCAATAGATGATATTTCACTGAACCTATATAATTTTCCAAAGTTATATGCTGCCTTCTGCTCCTGTCATTAATAATCTAAGAGCTTCTTCATGTATGCTGAGACATAAGTGGGGAAAAAAAAAACTAGCCTATTTACCAAAATCTTTATTTGCATAATATGAAAATTGTTTTTTTGAGATGAGACTTGTCAGAGGCAATATGCAAAGCACATTAAGGGCTTGAGCGAGTCAGACATTTATGGAAATATTTTCCTGCAGGAATTGGCTTTCTGTAACAGTTCTTAATCAAGGGTAACCCTAGGAGGGAGACAGAGTCAAGTGCTGATTCCTGTCCATGTACTTAAATCATTTGTTACGTACATCATCTAAAGTATGTAAGAAATATTAGCAGTCTACTTTTAAATTTGTTTTCTAACTTTTAAAAAAATAATTATTTTTTAATTTATTCATCATTATTCTTTTTAAAAATTTGACCAGAAAGAGACAGATAGGAAAAGTGAGAAAGCAAGCCATCAGGTCTGGGACTTGAACCGCTGCCAGTCATATGGAAGAGTTCAGTGCCTTAACCACCAAATTACCTGCTGGTCCCTACTTTTAAATTTTAAAAGACTTACAATTTGAAATATCTCATTATTGTATTTTAATAAAGATCAATCACATTGCAACTAGTGGTAAGGTTTATTTAAAATTTTTTGCAGTAATCACACAATGAAATAGAAATTAGAATAACATTCTCAATTGTAATTTAAAAGAAAGAGTCTCGTTCAGATGGATTATGCCTTGTGGTAAATAGACCACACCATAGTGATTTTAAAGGATTTGGATACTATAACTCCGAATTAAAAAAAAATTTACAGAGAAGAGGGATGAGAGATCTCTGATCCAACTGGGGTGAAGAGCTTTTAAAGAAACAGACTGATTTCTGCCCTATATTTATCCCAGCCCCCCACCTCTCACCACCACCCCAACTATTAGGGACATGCTGCTCTCAAATGAAACTGGTCAGTAGTTTAAAATTGTGTTCTAGAAAGATCAGAAGTTCCATAGAGGTGCCCCATGAAACAGGGAGAAGGCAAAGAAGTAGGCCCTTTCTACTCAAGAAAAAAATCAAAGAAACTATATCCCTTTCGTTTTCTAATTAAAAAAAAAAAAACTTACTACATATAACCAATTACATTCCATATTTTTTCAAGTATTAGATCGTTGGAAAAGTCATGATGCATTTTTGCATAGAAAGCCAGAAAAAATACATCATGATTTTTCCAGTGACCCAATAATTATTTAGATATAGTCTTGGGAAAAATAACATTTATTATTTTATTCCACTGACATTCGTAATGGAAACCATTAAAATCAGGATGATGCAAGCATTATTGCTGTACATATGACCAAACTTACACATTTCATCAAACATTAACTTAAGGTTGAAATGGTAGCTACTGTTATAAGTGTGTCTTACCAAAATAATTTCAGTGAACCAAAACAGTTTTCTTAAAATGTTTAATAAACATTCTAATTGGGCTGCCTGCTATGGCTCAGTGGTAATGCTAGTGCCCTGCAATGCTGGAAGCCATATGTGAAATGCAGTTCAGATCCCGGGTTAGCTTGAAAAACACACTAGGTGTACATACAGGCACCCAGGAGCCAGAGGAGCTGGATTCCTTTTCTCTTTCACGTGCGTGCACGCACACAGACACATGTGCTTTTTAGAATAAAAAGGGAAACTTTCAGGACCAGCAGTTAGCGTAATGGCTATGTCGCTGGACTCCCATGTAGTCGACTGTGGTTTGCGTCCCGGACCCAGTGGCTTAAAACTCACACCGGGTGCGTGTGCGTGCGTGCCCAAGATTCTGAGAGGAGAATGGAGAAGAAGGGATTGTGGTGTGGCCATCCCTCCTGGGGGGTGATTTCTCACGTTCTGTCTCTCTGTCTCTCTCTCTGTCTGGTGAGCGCACACGCCTTACAGCAAAAACCTCTAAAAAAAAAAAAAAAGAAAGAAAGAAAAAAATAAAAAAAGAAAAGAGAAGGGAAACTTTCTAACCATACCATATCTCTAATATTTTCAAATGCTGTGGAAGTAACCAGACAAAACCATGCCTTTACAATATCAATTACATGGCAGACTACTAAGTAAGACACAGTGGCAATCTGGATTTTACCAGAGGTTTGAGATCCTCATGAATTATGATAGTTTTACCTGACAGATGACGTATGACACAGTATCTCCGACTTTGACCTTTCTTCCTCCTTGAGAATTTATCCAGAGGGCAACATGTACATGAGGTAGGCTTTTTTTATCTGGGTAATCCTGGGGATCCTTTGTCAATGCCTGAAAAAGAAAAAGAGGGAACAAAAAAGCCCCAAACTTTAAAATAAAGCCCTTTTCACACAGGTATACACTTGGTACATCTTTGCTGGAAGTATACTGGCCACATAAACATAAAAATAACAGAAACTGTATGTAGAAAACACGTCCACAGGATCCAGGATCCTCTCTCCTTCACCTAGTAACTAACATAACCAGATACAACCCTGACAAAAAAGAAATTCAAGTTAACGGACCATGGTGCATAATACTTGGATATAAAAAAAAAAAAATTAAGACTATAAATTCAGTGTCCTAGGCAGCCTTAAAATTTTTCCTATGTTTTCGATTCTCTCACTAAATTAACTGATTAATTGATTAAAAAGAATAATGGCTAATCTTGACTGATTAAAAGGAATAATGGCTACTCTTGACTCAGTGATCCGTTTCTCAAAGACTCCTCTAGCCCAAATAAATTCTAAAGGCACCCCAACTCACTGGACTTACTGATGCTCTCAATGAAAGCTCTACAGAGGCAGGATGAGTTTGCAGTATAAAGTAAGCCCCATGAGAGAGAAACAATGTCAGCCTTGCTCACAGCTGTATGTGAAGTGCTCAGGACGATGCGTGGCACACAAATGTTTGCTGAATACTTCACCCATTCTGCAATAATTTGGTAAGTTTAAGTGGCATCAAGTATTGTAGGGTGAATAAGATATTGTCTCTGGTATGAAGTCATGTATTATTAGCAGAAGACACTTGCTCCTGCCAAAACAACAATAAGAAAAAAAAAATCTAAAACAAGTTACCTATGCCATACGGGAGCAGTGAACCAAGCGTTGTAAAGACTTTAGAGAGGCAAAGATTGCATTCGTCAGACAATGTAAGATGTGTAAGATATGAAAGAAAAAACCAGAGCTGATACTTTAAAGAAAAAAAATAATTTTAAGAAAAGAAAACAAGGGCAAGAATATTCTAGGCAGAGAAAAAAACAAATGATCAGAAAAAATGCAATCTGTCAAGCTGGAACTCAATGTACAGGAAGGGAAGGAAAGGGATACCTCTATAAATGGTGTGTTGGAAAGCCAACAAGGGGCTGGCCCCATAGCTCATTGGTTAAGCACTGTGCAAAGGAAGCCAGATTATACATGGCCAAGCCATGGTTTGGATCCTGGTTCCAGTAACTTGAAAAACAAACATTTTCCATGTATCCAGTACCTGACGAGATGAAGAAATGGAGGAAAAAGGACTGCCATGTGATCAGGACCCAAAGGGGGATGCTGTTCCTCCCTCTACCCTCATGGTGCACATGCATGCCCCCTCTAGGGAAAAAAAAAAAAGGCCAGATGAAGAATTAAGGACCAGGATGTTGTTTGATGAGCTCACCTGTTCTCAAAGTACAGTCTGCAGACTTCTGGAGCTTTCTGACACTGATACCCTTTGTCAAGACCTCAACATCGAAACTACTCTCATAATACTATTAGTTCTGATGATGCAGAAGCAAAGGTGGATAAAACTGTTGATGCCTTACAAACATGAATCAGGGTAGCAATACCAATCTAGTCAGCCAGTCAGTCTTCGTTCTTGCCTGCCTGCCTACCTGCCTGCCTGCCTTCCTTACCAGAGAACATGTGAGCTCACCAGAAGGAAAGGAAAAAGAAAGTGCCCCTCCAATAGGGTGTGGTGACACTGAAATCCCCTCTCCTCCATTTCTCCATTCTGTCAGGCTTTGGGGCATGCACACACATGTGCCTGATGTGTTTTGAGAACTGCCAGAGCCAGGATTCGAATCTCAGTTGGCCATGTGAAATCCAACTCCCTCAACCACAGAGCTAAGGAGCCAGTCCCAAACTGTATTCTGAGAGTCACTGCATTCACCACCACACACAGGTTGGCGGGGGAAAATAAAAAAGACCACATTTACTTAAAAATGTCCTTGATCAAGCAGTAAAATTTAATTTTTTAAGTTCTCCATCCTTGAGTATAAGTCTACTATTTTATGTTATAAAACAGAAAGTACGGGGACTAGCAGTTAGCGTAATGGCTATGTCGCTGGACTCCCATGTAGTCAACCACAGACTGAGTCCCGGACCTGGTGGCTTAAACTCACGCCGGGTGCGTGTGCGTGTGCGTGCCCAAGATCCCGACAGGAGAATGGAGGAGAAGGAATTGTGGCGTGGCCATCCCCCTCTGGGGGGTGATTTCTCGTTTTCTGTCTGTCTCTCTCGTTTGTCTGGCGAGCGCATGCGTCCTATAGCAAAAACCTCTCCAAAAAAAAAAAAGGCACAAACAGAAAGTACGTACAAAGTACAGGTGAAGAACAAAGACTGTTCAGGGAAAAGCATTTGTGTAATTATTTGAGCTGCTAGCTAAACTAGCTACCTTTGCCATAAAATACAATTTTTACTTAAAAGAATGAGAAGCAAACTTATGGTTATTATGACTTGGGTAGCTAGCAAACAATTTCTAAAGAGAACCAAGTGAGCTTGCCACTTTAAGGGAAAAAAACTGACAGTGTATATTGCCAATGATAATATTCAAGCTTTCAACTGCAAATTATTTTGGAAAACTTGTTTTCATTTCTGTGAGGCTTGACAGATTCCTAATATTTAAAGACTTCTGATATAAATAGGAATATTTTAAAAAGTGATTTTTAAAAAATGTACAATGAATGAATGTGTCAATTTCAGAAGATCTGTATAATTCAGAGAACGAATATATAACAAATGATCAAAGTATAATGTGGACAAATAAATCTTAATGTAAAAAAAGTATAAAAAGTTCATTAATATGGTTTCAGACTCCACATTATGAATAACCATTAAAAAAAACCCAACTGCTGAATTTAGGTATAGGATCAAGGAAAAATATGCACAACTATCAGAAAGAAATACTAAATACTTCTTTTTCAGCTACATATTTGTGTGAAACTTGATTTTCCTCCTACATTTTAACCAAAACAACACATCATCAGATTGAATGCAGAAGCAGACATGGAAATGTAGACGTCTTCTATTAAGCTAGACATTAGAGAGATTTGCAAAATTGTGAAATAAAGCCATTCCTCTGGTTAAATTTTCCTTGTTTTGAAACATATAGTTATTTTCCATAGAAAAAATTATAATCATATAATAGGTTAACAGCTATTTCTAAGTGAATAAATAAGTGTTCTTAAAATTCCTAACACACTAATATCAACACAAGGCACACAAATAAAAGCTCTTATTAGACCTAGAAATCTGAGGACTGCTAGAGCAGAATTAAGCAGGTCCTCAAACAAACATAGCTGCACATACTCAAATTAAGTACACTTTCTAAATCCTATCCTCAGTGTGGGAAAATGTCTAGGAAACTCTTCAAGTATTTGAATCTCTTCAAACTTGAATTATGTAAAGTCTTGAGAGACTAGGATGGGCAATACTGCATACAAATCTTAATCAATATAACTCTAAGCAAACTACTATCTTCTTCAATTCTTCAGTGTAATGTTAAGAAATTCTGAATTTCATCTGACATACTTTCCAATTATTAGGCTGAAGCTATTTGGGGATTTTTATAAGCTAGTTTTAGAAAACATTATTCTTTAAAAAAAAAAAAAAAAAAAAAAAAGCTTCCTGATGGTTTAGGCTTAAGTTAGCCAGAGCTATAAAAATCAGCTGTGAAATATTTTGTGTTACTTTATAAAAACATATTTAAGCTAAGATTGCAATAGTTCAAAAACAAAAAATCACATATGCTGCTTTTCGGGTGCTTTTGGCAAAAAGGGCTAAAATCTCTATGAAGGTAAATTCCACTACTTCACACATGCCTCCACCCCAACCTAACCTGCTATTGTCAAGTCCTGCCAGCACTGCCTAAAACAGCAACAAAATAACCCACCCTGCCATGCGGCCCTCCACAAACCATCACATACATAAACTCTTCCATTCCAACCTTTATTGAAAGTAATAAAATGTAAAAACTGAACTGCTCACAAATTTTAAACAGTACAAGTACTCAAAGGAATATTAAAGATGATGAGAAGGACGTATCACCTTTGACATGAACAGCTTACTTTAAACAGATACAGAATTATAACTATGATATAGAATCATTTCATGAGACTTTATTATACTTACATCAACACTGCATAAATTATTTTTCTTTAAAAAAGTCAAAGAATATGGAACAGTAAACACTTTTAATAAATCACCAGCATCTGGAAAATACGAACCATGCTTTCCTTATTCAACTTCACATCCCAGAATCTAGCACTGTGTACATAAGAGGTACTCTATGTTTGCTGAATGGATAATTAAATAAGCAAATGAATTATTTCAATGATAACTGAACAACCATGATTTGCCAGCAACTATACTAATGATACGAAGAATACAAAGACTATGTCACAGTGTCAGTTCTGCCACACAAAAAAAAGATATGCAGAGCCCCTACCACACTAGGCTCTAAGTATTAACTATAACTGTTATTACTAATCATAATGAGACTACAAGTTGACATTTATTGAAGCTGAGTGACAGATATATGGGGATTCATACTAGTCCTGACTTTTGAGTAAGTTTGGAAATTTTGATAATAAAAACTTTAAAATAACCAAAGAATACAGACTAGTCATCAGAATCTGGAGACCATCAGTGTCTATGACTCAGTTTCTTCTTGCACACTAGTAATATGGTGTCTTCATTCATAAGAGAAGATGAATGTGTGGGCTCACTACCCTAGTGGATGGGTGTTTGGTGTGATTTTGCTAGTAATGTAGTCATGCTTGGACTGAGCTCTCCAAACTCATCCCTGGAACCACTGTAATAGAGAGCCACATTTCTAGGAACTCAGGCAGAATAATGGACTATTGCAATGCAAAACTAACCAAAAGAAGACTGAAATACTCTTACTCATGCAAATTTTTTAGGGAAAAAAAAACTTGTAAAAGGAAACCACTTTCTAGACAACACAAGTGATTCCACCAATACGTGTACACTGCATCACTAAAAGTGAAGATAGTGCCAAGGCACACGCCCCTTGTATGTAGAAATGCAAGTCTAACTTTTGTGATGTTAAAGACGGTACAGTTGAGGTACAGGAAACAAACAAGATTTACTTAGGAATAAATACAAATCTTCAGGATATACACAGACAATATTAATTCTCTCTAGGAATTAAAGACAAGCAAATTAAATTCGATTGTGAAATATATCTTCATATCTACTATAGTAGCAAAGTTTTATTTAAATATCATTGCTACTATAACAAATCCATGGTGAAACTAGCATACACATTTTATTATCATCACCTTTTTGCAAAGCAATTTGGCAAAAGGCATACAGATAATTCATATCTCTTGACTTAAATATTTTATTTCAAGAAACTTAAAACAAGAAAGGAACTCATCCAAAATCAAAAGGATGAATGAGAAAATATGCTCAATACAGTTACTAGCAATAGAAAAAAATAAGTCAATAATCAATAAAATGCATAAATGAAGAAATGTCAGCAAAATAAAAGATTGGTAAACTAACTTGACAATTGTCAGCAAAATATAAAAATGTGGAAAAATATGTAGTGAAAATAGATTTCTAATAGCATATAATGGGTGCAATGTTAAAAATGTTTTGAAAAGTAAGGAAATGTGCAAAAATGGCACCTATTACTTTAGCACAGGTATATTACGAATGAATTTTCAATCTAAAATTTCCATTTAATGTCATCATTAGATCCTTTTTCATTAATTTTTTAATGAACTTTAACAACAAGATCTATCAAAAACTGGGTGACTTGGTATTTGCAAAATTAGTTTCTGAATATGTAAGGATGCTCTTTTTAATGGGGAAAAAAAGAAATTTGTAACCTAACGTCTTGCTTACTGCACAGCACTCTGGAAACCAAAACTTTTCAAGCTAGTTAAGAAAAATTACCCCCCCCCTTTTAAACAACAAAGACTGTATTAGGTGTAATATATAGGTGTTTTGTTTTGTTTTGTTTTGTTTTGTTTTGTTTTGTTTTAAAGCAAGAGTACTTTGAATATACAGAAAATGTTGCCACCAGCTGAGTTCTCAATGACATTGTCCCCAAAAGCCTTCTAGTTACAGTACTGGTAAGGATCACCATCCGTAAGGTCATACAAGTACACACACACACACACACACACCTTACAGGCCTATGCCCCAAACTACTACTACTTAGGAAGACTATGAAGAAGGCAGTATCCTCTTGCCCCCAATACAGGAACTAATATTATCACTGCACAGGACCTCTGAAAGGAAGGCTCCCAAAAATTTAAGTACGGAGCAGAGAGAGAAGGCCTCTGTAGCAGACATGGCAGTACCTGTGACTGGAAGAGGTATGCTAATGCTCAATCTGTGAGACAGTTGTTAAGCAGCTTTCCTCACCAGCTAGAATTTATTTCAATTGCAAGGATGAGGTGGTTCTTCAACTATCTGAAGGAGGAGAAAAGCACATGACAGCAGCTGGGCTCAGCAATAAATGCTACATTTACCTTGTTAATTTCAAACTGGCTCACTGGGACACTGCCATTTAGCACATTTTCTCCAATATGTATTAACCTCTTCTGGATGTTTTCCACTATAGTGTCCCGGCTTTGATCAGAAAGAATCTGGCCAATGACAAAGCTGGGGGAAAAAGAGAGAGAGAGAGAAAGAGATTTCATTAATATCATACTTGATTAATAAAGGGAAGAAAGAGATAAATGTTGTTAGATTAACATATGGACAAGAGCTATATTAAGAACTAATATGAAGATTAATGTCCAAAATGCACTTACTTTTTATTTTTTAACACCAATTCTACCAAAGGTTTGTCAACTCTGGACTCCCAGGTTTGCTCTTAAAGATACAAATCATTCTTTCATATGGCAGCTAATACTTCACACAAAATGTGATGAAGAAAAGCACAGTTTCTATCATATTTTTATATGAGTACAAAATTCACACAGTTATGTTCTACCCACAAGTTAAAATGTAGAAGACAAATATTACCCTTTCCTCATAAAACACCAAGATAATATCTCTGATATCATCAACATGTCAGTATAACATCTTCACTGGAGCTGACCGTAAGCTGGGTTGATAGAAATATAAAGCTCTTTATGTACATTTGTAAGAAAAGATTTCGGCTTTTATTTTTCCCTCAGCTTCATTATACTGCTTATAGTTCTCCAACCTTATCCTGTCCTTCAAAAACTTCACGTTATTCTACCAGACCCAAAGGAAAAGAAAAAAGAAGTAAGGAAGCCAATATTTTATCCATTTCTGAGAAATTGCAGAGCGAGGGTTTGACAGCTGCATTATAATTTGTCGGAAAAAGAACTCTAACAAAAACATTTGTATAGCTTTAATTACTAATACATTTCTAACTCAGAGAAATTTACTTCTATTATGATGCATCTTTTCTTAGAAAACACAAAGCTGAAGAGAACACTCTAATCGACAGCCTATACAAAGTAGTTTCATCTTCGGGTACATTTGGGGGCAATGAAGCATTTCAAACTACATTTCATAAAATGCTAACAGTGACCTATACTCAGATGATCGACTTTGCCTAATCAAGACTAGTTTTGCAGAAGCAACAATTGCTCAATTTCCAAACTCAAAAACAGGAGAAAGACTGGAAAATGAGTTAAAAATGCCGATGTTCTGTAATAGTAAAATTGATTTGAAATTTAGTTTTAAAGTAAAAAAATTCTATGTTCAGTTGTTCAAGTATACAAAATAGAGGAGGATCTGAGAGATGGTATATAAAGCACATAAAGACTTTTTTCTTTGAAGTGGGTACTTTATACATTAATAGGACCCTGAAAAAAATTTCAAAAACAAACAGGTTTTTGTTTTTCTTTTCATTTTGGATGCTTTTGTCTGAGATGAGGGCAATGAGAAAGTATTCCCCATGGGGAATACCTTATGCCAAAATACCTTCTTCTCCACTTCGCCCTCTTTTCAGAATGTTGGGGCATGCAGGCATATACACATTCCCAGTGTGTTTTTTAAGTTGCCAGGTCTGGGATTCTAACCATGTGGCCCGCCATGTGGGATCCAGCTACCTTAACCAACAAGCCAAGGGCTATCCCCAAACAGATCATATTATCACAATCTTCAGTCTCAGGTACAAAGTGAGGGGTGGGGCAGGTAATCACCGGATTTCTTATTTCTGAGGTACACACAGATTTTTAGAACTAGTTCTTAAATTAAGCTGAGATTAGTAAGAATCTTTTATGCAAAAGCGATATGGATGGGAACAGTCTCATTTCATGGCTCATTTCAAAACCAAGAACATTTTAAGCCACAAAATGGGGAAATCTTAACAACTGTGTTCCTAACAAGGCTTTGGAAAGATTCAGGAGTGAGGGGACCAGCAGATGGCATGACGGTTATGTAGGTGAACTCCCACATAGTTGACGACAACTCAAGTACTGGACCTGGCGGCTTAAAACTCATGCCAGGTGCATGTGCGTGTGTGCCCAAGATCCAGGAAGGAGAATGGAAGAGAAGGGACTGTGGTGTGGCCATCCCTACCTACTTGGGGGTGATGTCTTGCTTTCTGTCTCTCTCTTTCTCTCTCCAGCAAGCACATGTACCCTATAGCAAATGTCTCTCTAAAACAAATAAAACAATACAAAACAAGAAAGAAAGAAAAAGAAAGATTCAAGAGTATAAAGCAAGGCATGTTCCGATAGGAACATTAAAGTAATATCAACATAAATGAAATATACTTCTGTAAGGATATAAAGTGTGAAGGCTTACACCCATCATGAATTAAAATACATGAGATACATCTTAGAACAGGCATTTCTTATTGAGCAAATTTGGCCTTTTCTAAGTTTTAATCTACCTGTAAAATTCTATTTCAAATTAGTTAGAACTGTTGATACAAGGGGATTTCAAAATTTTCATGGAAAAAGAAATTAAAGTACAAAGTTAATCGGGTATGAAGAAATTTTTAATCGATACAGTTATCTCACAATATGCATTTTCCATGAGCATCCTATTGTACGTAACAATAATAAAAATAACCAAAAGAAGTTGTGTCCTTGTGCTTGACAAACTCATAGGCATTCTCCACATCATTAACCACTTGAATTTTTTCCTTAAATTCCCAGAGGGTGCATGCACTCACCAGAGAGAGAGTGCAGGGGAAAGGTAGCACCGCCCCAATGGGGTGTGGTCATGCCTCAATCCCTTCTCCTGCATTTCACCATTCTGTTGGGATTTTGGACATACACGCATGCACGCACACACATGCACACATATACACACACAGTATGTTTTTCAAGTCACTGGGGCCAGGATTCGAACTGTAGCCAGCTATGTGGCATCTGGCTCCCTTAACCTCTAGGATTGACTCAACACTTAATATTTTAAAAGACAAATTAACGAAAGCAAAACTGAACTCACTTCCCAGTGTCCTTAGCAAGATCACACCAATCTCTTCTAACAATATCCAATCCTTTCAGCTCCTGTTTGGTGAAATAATTCCCATCTGATGTTGGTTCGACAACCAGAGCAGCGTATTTCTTTTTCTTCAGTAGTAGCAAAGACTTGAAAACACCATCAATGTCTATTTCAAGTAGTTTGTACAACTTATTCACTTCATTTTTTACCTGTGAAAAATTTAAACATTAATACTAGCTTTTCAAATGCCTAACAGGAGGAAGATGAATATATTACGAATTCCCAGGAGTTAATCCAAACAGAATTTGAAGTCATAGATTAGAATGCATTCACTCAGCTTATATGTAGCATGATACTATGTTAGGTATAATGCAGACACTGAACAATACAGGGACAAGAATATATTTTGTTAGAAATGAAGAGGTAATAATATGCATGTATCATTCCACTCAACCAAAGGATAGGATTGGCTGGATCAGTCCCGGAAAATATATGAAAATTACAGAAAATAATGAAACAATCTTCCTTGAATCTTAAAACTTAATATATATGTACTTGCCTTCATACCAATGAATTACTTAGAGATGATAGTCTAACAAGTAGATATGTGGTCAGAAATAAGTAAAACTTCGACTAATAAAACCATGACTAGGGACCAGCAGATGGGAAAATGATTACACTGCTGGACTCCCACGTAGTTGACTGCAGTTCAAGTCCCGAACCTGATGTCTTAAAACTCACACCAGGCACATATACATGCATGTCCAAAATTCCAAGAGGAAAATGGATGAGAAGGAATTGCAGCGCGGCCATCCCATCTGGGGGGTGATTTCTCGCCTTTGGTCTCCCTCTCTCTCTCTGTCTGTCTGGTGAGCACACACGCCCTACAGCAAAAACTTCTCTAAAAAAAAAAAAAAGTCTATACCAAAAATCTCTCTTAAAACACACAAACAAAAAACCATTGTCTAGGGGACCAGCAGTTGGCATGGTGGTTAAGGCGCTGGACACTCCCATATGGCTGACCACAGTTCGAGTCCTGGACCTGGTGGCTTTCTCTCTCTCTCTCTGGTCAATTTAAAATAAATGAATAAATAGAATTTAAAAAAATGTGTCTGAGATCTCTCTTAGCACCTTGAATATTTAAGCAAGTAACCATATGCCCAAACAAATGGACAGTCCCCTGCTTTTTACTGACAAGGTCAAGGCACATACCACTGCCACTAGGGAAAATACACAGCTTTTCAAGGCTCAGTATGCCAGGCTTTCTCTCAAGTGAGATTTCAGTTAAACTTTCATACATTCTCCAGGAGGGAAAGATAGGAAGCTGTTAGTTTGGGAAATGATATCTTAGTTTTAGTTTATTGGGACAGTGTTTTAATATAGCAAGTGTTCAAGGAATGCCTGCTAATTGTGAAGTGCTATTAAGAGGGAGTAAATGATTATTTCATTTTGAAGAAATGATTAGTTTAAAAATGGCCCCTTGCCTTTTCCAGGAGTACATTAAGTACACATGGGAAAATTATTGATGTGCATATGTATGTAGGTAAGAAGGTTATATGCCTATGTATAAAATATATCTCTATAAAAATGCTTCTGAATACTAGACATGTATTTCCTTATGAATGACGATGTGGTAAATGCTAACATGATCGTATCTTAAACACTCAGACTGTTTTCAAAGGAAAATGTATCTATCATTTAAGAAAAAACAATTATCTTTTAATTTAATCATCAAAGCACTACAGTTGAGGTTAAGAACAATAAAAGAAAATGAAGAACTGAGATCCACCAAGTTCCCTATTTTCAGAAGCATGTATGTATACACACACACACACACACACACACACACACACACACACACACACACACACACACACACACACACACACACACATATATAGTTATGCTGTTTCATGTTAAATACAGAATTCACAAAACACATAAAATGGATGATTTCATCAAATTATCTCACCTTATTTCCCAACTTAAATACTTCCTCCAGATCGGTGCTATTGGTGTTTATCATAATTGAATCTGTATCTCCATATATAACTTCAAGATTAATCTAATGAAAACAAATATAAAAATTAACAACAAAAACAGTGACCATTATACACAGTGAAACTAAAGATTTTCCATACTGTAGAAATTACAGGTTACATGACTTTTCAAAAGTCTGCATTAATTTCCTGTATTACCAGGGTGTGCAATTGAAGATTAAGCCCCAATAAAGCAGAAAGGCACACGCCATAACATTAAGAAAATCTCCTAAATTTTCTTAAAACAAAAAAGGAAGTGGAGTGGAAGGGGAATAGTGTCTACTTTCAGCTGAAACAAAATATGGAGCTGAATAATGAGAAAAGGAAACGAGGTCTATATTTACCCACAGTACCACATGCCTAGTGGTCATGGCAATTTAAGAAGCAGAAATATAATGGATTTCGAAAACTCAGGGGCACAAATCCGTATTAAATTCTTAACAGTTTCAAACAGTATTTAGTAGAATATGAAGAGTGCCAAAAAAATCAATCATAACAAACAACACTAGAGCACATACAGTATAAAGGCCTGGAAATAAACTCTAATTAGCACTGTTACTAATTTGCTTGAAACACTCACATATAGGCTTCAAGCAGGGGCTAGATCATATCAGTGTTGGTAAAAGAAAAAGGCTGTAATCCATTAGGAGGGATTATAAATGTAAACTAGGCATCCTAAGAAGCAATTTCCAGTCTGTTTGGGTTACAATTTTCACTGAATACAAAAACGTCATAAGGTATTATAATTGTAAGTTGTTATATGATAAAAATGCTCAGCATTACCTTCTGTACCATCTCTTTCGTATGCATCAAAATCTAAATAAAACAAAAATCAAAATTAATACATTACAAAATCACAATGAAACTATATATAAGCACATAGATATAGGTAATTCCCGACAATTTGCCTTTTCCATATTTTTTAAAGCTTTTGAAGGTTTTCTAATGGAAAGTCAAAAAGTAACAATAACATCAACATAATCTAAAACATAATTAGCCTTTATGTCGATTCTTAAAACACATATACACATATGCTTGCATATCTCTGGCTAAGGAGAAATAGATATACACACATACATACACGCATACATACACACATACATTTTAATAAATGAGCATGGCATGGCAAAATAAAATATATACATGTATCTATATATATCTTCAGTAAACATCTACAGCATTAAAAAAATCCATTATAATATAGCAAAAAAAAGGGCAAATTTTCTCATTACTAATATTTAAAAATAAAACTACACGGCTACAAAAAACAGTTGCCTAACAGGGCATTTCAAATCTAGCAATTTTTTTAACTTTTTTTTTTTTTTTTGGAGAGGTTTTTGCTATAGGGCATGTGCACTCACCAGAAAGACAGAGAGACAGAAAGCAAGAAATCACCCACCAGGGGGGATGGCCACGCGCAATCCCTTCTCCTCCATTCTCCTCTCAGGATCTTGGGCACGCACGCACACATGCCCAGCATGAGTTTAAACCACCATGTCTGGGACTCCAGTGACAGCCATTACGCTAACTGCTGGTCCCTCTAGCATTTTTTTTTAAAGAGATTTTTGCTGTAGGGCACATGTGCTCACTGGAGAGATAGAGAGAGAGACAGAAAGTAGGAAATCACTGCCCAGGGGGGATGTCCATCCGCAATCCCCTCTCCTCCAGTCTCCTCTCGGGATCTTGGGCATGCACACACACACATCCAATGTGAATTTTATGCCGCCAGGTCCAGGACTCGAACTGCTATCACCTACGTGGGAGTCCAGCGACATAACCATTACACTATCTGCTGGTCCCTCAAACCTAGCCAATTTTTAAGCATTATATTCAAGATCTTAAATAGCAAAAGTGTACACACACACACACACAATTTAAAATTCTTCTCTAGAGAAGAGACCTTCACTATATTGCCTGGATCTAGCACAGTGTCCAGTTATAAGATGGGGCTCAATATAATATGCAAAGAAGACAAACATATAGATAGTATCTGTAGACAGGTCTGTTTCTACTTACAGACTATAGATTTGTAAGTTATAATGAAGATACAGATAAAAATAGATAAATGATTTCAGATCAGAAGTAATACATATACTATAAATGAAAGCCTTGTAAAAAGTGGTAATACAGCATAGCGAGGACTCAGAGAGAGTATGTGTGTATTTAAAACATACTCTATGTGTCAGATACTGTAGTAGGAGCACTGTGTATTTTTCTCATTTCATTCTACAAGATCCCTAAAAGATCACTACTATTAATATCCCCAGTTGTTAGATGCCAAAAGACAAAGTAATTAATTTGTCTTAGTAATGACAGAACAGGGACATGAACCCTGGGACTCTGACTCCTCTGCACAGGGCCTTAGTCACTCCACGCTATGCTCTTTCTGTCATCACCCATCTCTCAAAGCTTCAGTCTAAACCAGAAGTCACTTTTCCAGGGGGCCAAGTAAAGATCCACTTTATTTTCCTTTCTCCTTTCTCAATAGCTCTCCTTGTCAACTAAGCTCAAACCTCACGATGCCATTTTCTCTTTCTTGTCCTTCGCAATACTGAGCTGTGTAAGTCTTGTCTTTAAAGTATCTACCATTACATTTTTATTGCCCCTCCCCTTTATCTCGCAATTTGTTCATGTGCTCACTGTCATGTGTTCTTGGAGAAGGAAACCCTTCCCTGCCTTGTGGGTGGTGATAATGAGTTCTGATTAGGCTAGATCAGTGGTTTTAATACTGTCTGTACAATGGAATCATCTGGGGATTAAAAATAAATACCAGGAAACTCACAGGTGGTGTGGTGGTTAAGGTGCTGGACTCCTTCATGGCCAACTGTGGTTCGAGTCCCAAACCTGGTAGCTTGCTTTTTCACATTCCCTTTCTCTCTCTCTCTGGTCAAATTAAAAACTAAATAATAATAACAACAAATTAAAATTAATAATTATTTTTTTAAAAAAAATACCAAATACTTAGCCCCAGCATTAAAAAAAAAAAAAAAAAGCTTCCAAGATGATTCTTACATTGTAAGCTGAGTAAAGGATCACTGGCCTAAGATAATTATGGTAATTCCATTCTGGAAACAGTGATCAGTTTAGGCATGTACATGTAACGATCCAATCCTGGGCAATCAAAAGTAAAAAGAATTCATCTAGGAAGCTACGTGAAAGGTTTCCCTTCATTATGAGAAGTGGGAAGAAAAACTGCTTTTTAGACTGAGAGCTACTAGGAGTAGCAGCAAACACCACTGTGACCAGGAAGGGCCAAGCCTGAGGGTACAAGCTAACCTACTGAGGAGGACTGACCACAAGTACCAGACTCCACAGCACTGCCAAAGCGGTAGTTATCACTGAAGGTTATCCAACCCACACCTCTACTGTAAAATTCTAAATAGCTTTAGGCTTCATCAAATTCACCCTGAATATCATTATCAATCTAGTGAATGTTATCAATGCCTATCCAATGCCTGAATGTTATCAATGCCTATCCAATGCCTACGAGATCAAGCCCAAATTCAACAACTGTGCCTAAATCCCTGCCCCACTGTATAAGCCCGTTATCACCTTACATAAGCCCTCTTGCTAGGCAGAAGAAATCTACCAGTCCTCTCACAGACACACACATCTGTTCATGCCTTCACTCATGAAGTGTGAGCCTTTCCTGGAATTTCTTCCCCAGTCCTCTTCCAGTAACTAAACTTTAGAATCTCAGTTCAAATCCTTCGCTATAAAGCCTGAGCTGGCCTGCCCTGCCCTGCCCTGCCCTGCCCAGCCCAGCCCAGCCCAGCCCAGCCCAGAGCGATCTCCCTCCTCTGACCTGTGCTTGCATTATTCTTCTAGCCCTTGAACGGTGTTGTTATCAGTCAAGACTTTGTCCTCCTCTCCAACTTAGATGACAGTTTTTGGAGATCAGTGTGCATGTTTGTGCCTAACTTCACACTTTGCATATAAGAGATACTCAATAAAGGACACATAGTATTCCACTGTAGAAAGAGATCCTAATTTATTGACTAGTGCTCTACTGAACAGCGTGTAGGTTATATCTTATCTTTACCTTTATAATCAATCTTATTTCAACAAATAATCCTTACAAATGTATTAAAAAAAAAAACTGGTTGCCAGTTGACTCCTCTCACAGACACACACATCTGTTCATGCCTTCACTCATGAAGTGTGAGCCTTTCCTGGAATTTCTTCCCCAGTCCTCTTCCAGTAACTAAACTTTAGAATCTCAGTTCAAATCCTTCGCTATAAAGCCTGAGCTGGCCTGCCCTGCCCTGCCCTGCCCTGCCCAGCCCAGCCCAGCCCAGCCCAGCCCAGAGCGATCTCCCTCCTCTGACCTGTGCTTGCATTATTCTTCTAGCCCTTGAACGGTGTTGTTATCAGTCAAGACTTTGTCCTCCTCTCCAACTTAGATGACAGTTTTTGGAGATCAGTGTGCATGTTTGTGCCTAACTTCACACTTTGCATATAAGAGATACTCAATAAAGGACACATAGTATTCCACTGTAGAAAGAGATCCTAATTTATTGACTAGTGCTCTACTGAACAGCGTGTAGGTTATATCTTATCTTTACCTTTATAATCAATCTTATTTCAACAAATAATCCTTACACATGTGTTAAAAAAAAAAACTGGTTGCCAGTTGACTGATAGGTTTTATAGTAATCCTAATTACTTTTCTACTAGACTAAAATTCAGTTAAGTTAAAAAAAATTCACTTTCCTCGACTTCGTCTTCATTTTTAACATTTAAATTACAGGGAAATGCATTGTGGGAGAATACCTGACAATTCCTTTGGGAAAAGGGCAATAATGAGATCAACCCCAGTCAAGTTAATCATAGTGAGGACAGAACTATTTATCAAGAGTTCTCTTTACCGTCTGCTCCTTCCACAGTGCTAGGCTTAGTTTTCCTCATCACAGTGGACAACTCCATAAGTTAACTGTTACCTTCAGAGTAACACCACAGGAGCAAGTTGTCAACCTTTCACTACAACTCAGCACATTTACTAATAATTTCGTCTACTCTTCTCTCACAATGTGAACCAAACCTAGTGCCATCCCTGACTGCCACTTCTATGTGAACTGGCAAATGTCATCGTTTGGATTCACCCCACTGTGTCCTGCCACCAACTTACAACCATTTCCATGTACTATTCTAAGGGCTGTTACCAAAGAGATTTTCTCTTGGGTGGGAGAACTCTCTCAGTAAATGGTTTCCTTACAGAAATTGTAAACTGTTGACTATTCTGCAACTGTTTTTCTCACTTTATCTTGGAGAGTATTCCAAGCCCATACATAAATAACTGCCTTATTCTTTTTAATGACTACATAGTATTTCACAGTATGAATAGATTATAACTTGTAACTACTGAATAGAATGTAGATTGCTTCTACTCTTTTACCTTTAGAACCACCAATTGGGACCAGCAGTTGGCATAACAGAACCACCCATCAACAAATAATCCTTATACACACGTAAATTACAAATCTCCCAAGATTAAACAGGATAAACTCCTATAAGCGGTCTTGGTAGGTCAAAGGTCCTATGTTTTAAAATTTTCTATAAATCTAGCTCAATAGTTCTCCACAGAAGTTGTACTGACTTCTGTGGGTAGTGTGAATCAACATCTTTGCAATGGATCTCACCAATAACTAACAATAATGCTCTGTTTCAGAGTCAAGGTCCTCACCATAGCTTGTCAACTCTGTATGAGACAACCCATGAGCCTCACGTCTACCCTCCATGCTTCTTCACTAAGCAGTTCTATTAATACATGGTGAGTACCACAGTGCCCTCTGTAGGCCAATGCTGACCTGAGTGCT